ATGAGTCCTTACCCCAAGTGAAGGAGTTCAAGTATCTCGGGGTCTTGTTCTCGAGTGAGGGAACAATGGAGCGTGAGATGGGCCGGAGAATCGGAGCAGCGGGAGCGGTACTGCAGTCGCTTTACCGCACCGTTGTGACGAAAAGGGAGCTGAGCCAGAAGGCAAAGCTCTCTGTCTACCGGGCCATTTTCGTTCCTACCCTCACCTATGGTCATGAAGGATGGGTCATGACCGAAAGAACGAGATCGCGGATACAAGCGGCCGAGATGGGTTTTCTCCGCAGGGTGGCTGGTGTCTCCCTTAGGGATACGGTGAGAAGTTCGGTCATCAGGGAGGGACTCGGAGTTGAGCCGCTCCTCCTTCGCGTCGAAAGGAGCCAGTTGAGGTGGTTCGGGCACCTAGTTAGGATGCCACCTGGGCGCCTCCCTAGGGAGGTGTTCCAGGCACGTCCAGCTGGGAAGAGACCAAGGGGTAGACCTAGGACCAGGTGGAGGGATTATATCTCTTCGCTGGCCTGGGAGCGCCTTGGGATCCCCCAGTCAGAGCTGGTTGATGTCGCCAGGGAAAAGAAAGTTTGGGGCTCTCTGCTGGAACTGCTACCCCCGCGACCCGACCACGGATAAGCGGGAGAAGATGGATGGATGGATGGATGGACAATGTTATGTTAACCTTAAGGTATTTCAGACAGAGCTTTTACACTAAGACCCTGGTTGTAAAAAGAAGGGTGCTTCTTCAGCTTGGTGGTGGAACATTGTTAATTATGCTTGGTACAATAAGTATCTCTTTGTTTGACACACAGACTTTACCTTCTAAAGGAGCTCAAGAAGAATAACTTGATTAACCCCTGCTGTGCCCTGAAAGCACACATAGGATTGAAGATGTTCTATCTTTGGTGACCTGCTCACACTCCCTTTTGTCTTTTTTTATTTCCTCCTGACATATCACCAGGCAAACAAATGCATACAGGCATTCCATGTCCATCACTTTTGAGATGATAACTAACTGTTAATGTCTTGATTTATTCAAGTATAGTCATCAAAATTACTTCCTTCAGCTGCCCTCCTTCTCACCCTGGTCAGCTCTGTCTCAATGTTTAACTGGCAACTGAGGTCTAGAATAATTATACTTGTGTCAAAGATGTCTGACTCATTTCTAAATCACATTGTAAGGCTAATGCAGCAATCACCTTACCCGGTTAATTAGACATTTGTTCCTCAATATTGCCCTTACCTTGGCTAACAAGCCCCTTATCCTCACTCCCAAATGAATCACACCTTATCTCATGTTATTAAAAAAGTGGCTAATTGTTGATTCATGCCCCGTACAGTATGTGCAGTACCAGAGTGGACGTCCCTGGGGTCCTGTCTCTTGTGCTGCAGGTTCTGCTACATGTCTCTGTGCTCCTCATATAAATTATCTTACACTGGCCCTTTAGACTCACACTGTAGGGCTGTGGTAATCACACACATAAATGCATGAATGTACACACTAGTGGTCAATTTATTTTAGAGAAACAAAAGACTTATATTTCAGTTATTTTTCCATATTTTACCAAACTAAACTATAGCTTTTTTAGTGAAACATGCTCAAATATCCATTTAGCGGTTAGGTGATGCAGATGGTGGGAGACAAGACACTGGTGGGTGATGTATTCAGATCATTACACTTCCTGCTCCCTTATCCAGAGCAAAGGTCCTGCATTCAAACTCTTAAAGGTCCCCAATTATACTGTTTTTCATCAGTATATTAGAGGTCTCAGATATATACAAAACATTTCTCTGAAGTGTTTGGCTCGAAATACCAAACAGTTGCATTGTAACATGCCATAATCCCCTCTGTTTCAGCCCTGTTTCAAAAGGGCTGATTCTCTGTCTTTTAATTTAGGGGGGGACGGGGGACGGGGACAAATTGAGGCTTAAAAATATGAGAAGACTGATCAATACCTCCATAATATTCAGTGTGGTTAGCTATGAATCTTCCAAAACTTCCAAACACCTTGTCCTGGACATAGTTTCTACAGTATAAACTGTGCAACAGTACAGTAGGCCCACACAAACTGCAGAACACCGGGGCTTTGGGAACACTCAAAATTACTTAAAATGATTTAATTCCCATTTAACCTGGGCTTTTTCCCCCCATTTTTGTTCTCACGAAACTGTGTCTCAGTGTTTCTTAATATGTAATAAACTATTCATGTGTCCTACTCATTTAACGCGAAGAAACTCAGGTAACTGATGATATGAACCATGTTTACCGAAACAAAACACAAGTCTCACAAGAAGCATCTAAATGAGCCCTGAGCGAAAAAATGCTGACGCACTCTAGGTATAAATCAATCGATATAATTATCGGATATGTACAAACAAGCTTAGCTAACAAGCTGAGATTCCACAGATTCTAGAAATATAAGTATCATCACTGAGCGATCAGAACTCGCGACAGGGGAAACAAATACAGACATCACACGACGTAGCTTTAGGTAGCAAAAGACGGAGATATGCTCACCTTTTGCTGTTATTCTGATGAAAAACGAGAAAAACGCGGCTGAAGGTTAATCCATAGGTTAATCCAATGTGTCTGTCACTTTGAGAAAAATATTGATAATCCATAATTCCATTTTTATGTCAAAAACTGAGTTTTCCTAATAGCTGCTAATGATAGCTTCCAGAGTGTATGACAGCTTCCTGTTTTGTCTCCTTGGATACGAGTCCAAACAACTCACAGACTGCACCGGGCGCTGACGTAGGCGCCCCTGTGACCATCAGATTTGACGACGCTGATTGGCTGAAATTATGTTTTGGCGGCATAGTTTAAAGATAGTAACAGTTGGCTTCTGCTGCACTTGCTGCACTCTCGCTCGGGGCGCTGTGCATACAGTATAGCGCCCAGACGAGAGAGGGTAATGATACACGGGCAAGGCCAGGCAGGAAACATGTGACTTATCAGTAACTTTAGACATCGTAACACAATTTTAAACGATATTTTATTGTAGATTATACATTTTACTGATACCAATTATATAATATTTACCTTGTTTATTAAAAAAATATATATATAGGCTATATATATATATATTTTAAATATATATATTTTTTAATTTTTAATGTGGGAAGAGGGGGGGCGGCGCCCCTATAGGCCGGCCGCCACTGCTTTAGATGAAAATAAGGTGTCACTCCCAACGCCCCTCTGTGAGATATTTGGTTAAAAAGAACACAAAGGTGTTCTAGGAGGAGATTCAGGTGATAAGGGGGGGGGGCTTACCTTGGTTGGTTATTGGCTAATGGTTACACAAGCCTAAAAATCGTTATGACATCATAAAGTGGCCAAAATCTGATCAGCTCATTTCCAGACAGGTTTTTATATAAATGGATCAGGACAAAAAGTGTGCAAATCTTTTTTCCTGAAACTTTGAGAATCTCTTTACACAGAGGGGACACATGTATGTATCAAATACATGAAAAAGTGGATTTTGCATAATATGGTGACCTTTAAAATAAAAAGTAAAATATATATATACGTTTTGTCCACACAATATTATCAAGTAAAGCCCTGATGCAGACAGATGGTTCCTTGACTTGACCAAATTACCTGATTATAATCACAGAATCAACAAATATGAGGGACTGCGGATGGAAAGTAGCTCAAAGCTAAATCCGGCATATTTACGCTTGGCACATTTATTGTTTTAAGTATTCATTAATGTGCAATGTCCCTACCAAGTAAACGATTAAAAAAAAAAGCTTTTTAATTGATCATTAAGAAAGCCATGTATTGTAAAGAAAATTAATAAGAAAAATAGAATATTTCACTTACATTTAGTGTAGAAAAAGAATGGATAACATCTAAATGTCAAGTTTCTAAAGAACAGGTATAGCCTGTCTCAAAATCATGCTAACACAAGACACAAGACTACTTACATACTGCACTTACAACCACCATTAGAAACCTTATACAAATTGAAGATACTGAAAGTAAGGAATAATTACACCATCTAATGAATATAGTTTAGAATCATTATTTTTCTCTAATGACATTCTGGGCCTCGCAAAATGGAAATATCAGTGCCTGTAAGACGACTACTAAACTGAGTGAATGTAGATATATTTGTCTTAGTAATGTTGTAGGTCAGAAGATAATTCATCATTGATTCATTGATCAAGTCGTATATAAAGCAAATGGCTAAAATCTGCTGCATTCAGTGTATCAGTGGAGAGGATTTTCAGTTTTCCTCTTGAATTCAATATCTTTGAATTTTGGACTGGGCTCTGAAAAAACACTCCCATTGTCTGAAATGTAATTAAGAAATGATTTAATCGATTAAATGAAAATAAATCTACAAATGATTTGATGATGTCAAATAATGATGAGTTGCAGGTTTTGAAGATGGTATTAAAACAGCAAAGTGAGTGTATGGAATTCACACCTTTAGTATTACGCAAGATACGTTTTCCCCTTGATGTAGCGTATTATACAGAACAAATTAATAAAAAATATATATGATTGGGCTATAGTTGGTTTGACCTTACTACACACAAGCAAACACATGAGCAAAATCACTTTTGGTCTTTTTTTGTTTTTTAATTGGAGGCAAACTTACTTGCTGTGAGGCAGCGTGTGTTTGGACCTTTAAGAACATAACATAATACACTAACTGTACACAGGGATGAGTCTCTGTTGCTGGGCACTGGTTGCTGAGTGAGTTGCCATGGCACTCGATGTCCAGTTTGATTGATAGTCGGTTGACTTTAATAACAGCCAATCAAACTTGACTGGAGCACCATGCATTTTGAGCTCATTCACACAGGGCATGTAATTGTATCCTTACTTTTGGTGAGACAAGTCAAAGCGTCCTTTGTTGTTAAGGGTGACCGCGGGGGGAATTCAGGACTGCATCCCTTTTACGTTTTATGAATGCAACACAGGCAGAGGCGCGCATCCGACTACATTCATGGCTCGTGAACGCGCACAGGGAAGGCGTGGAGTTTGGGTTTAGAGGGGGGCGAACGGAAGGGGACGTACAGGAAAGGAACAGGGCCGCGCATACACGTCACGGGAGGAAACAAAAAACACTGGGACATGTTTGATTCACACAATTATTTATTCACCCCTGTATGTTCGTGAAGATTTCGCAGTTTCAAGCGCAACTACCTCCCTTCAGGCATCGGTGAGTGCTCTCTGTCGTCAGCCCGCAGGGGAGGGCTGACAGTGTCATACAGCCACTGAACTTCCCGTCAAGACACGGTACATGCGAAAATATCTGCTTCTGCTGCTGACAAAAAAAGGGGAACGACATCGGGGGCTGTCAAGAGGAGAGGACACACTCCAGTCGAGGAGTCTTCTGGGCAGAGAAACGGTGCCATTGTCCTCCAGCTGAGGCTGAACAGAGTCAGGTCTGGTGCTCTGCTAATTAGCCTGCGTGGGTCCCTGCAGAGACCGAGCAGCTAGCTGCAGCACAGAGCACAGAGCACAGGGTGTGAGTGACTCTTTGAGCCATAATCGGGACATTAATCTGACAAACTGATGCTAGGGTTACTGATGGGAGCCTTTATTAAATAGTCATCCCTCCCTCCCTATACCCCCCGTCGGACCCTGGCTCGGATTCGCCTCTCGGGCGCTGTCCTCGTCGGGGGGTGTCGATTCACCATAGCCCGGTCCAGCTGACTCCACGGTCCGGTCCCTCTGACCCTTGCCCTGCCTCGCCTTTCTGCCGCTCTGGCCGACCCTACCCGAGCCCAAACATGGCAGGGAACCTGAAGAAAGGAGGGGGGCTCATCGGATTGATGAAGGATGCCTTCCAGCCCCACCATCACCACCTCCACTCCCATCACCAGCCCGGGGCCGTAGACAAAAAGACGGTGGAGAAATGCTGGAAACTAATGGACAAGGTAAGTTAATGGTCAAAGTTAACTAGCCTTTAACGTTAGCTAGCCCATTTGATGGCTAGTGATGCTAGCTAACCGCAGCTAACTAGCGATAAGCTAGCTAATGTTCGCCTGCAGCAGGTCTGGCGTTGCTAACGTTAATGTTACATAGTCAGCTGAGAGAAGACATTGTTAGCTAATTGTCTAGTTTAAACTGTATTCATGTATACCATATGTGCCAGGCTACCTCACAGTAGAGTAAAAGACAGATACTTTTTTAAGGCAGCCTAACATTAACGTTAGCCCACAGACAGAACAAGGGCTTCTTTAGCACATCTGTTTGCTATTGCTGTGCCAATCTGTGGTAAATCACGTTGTTTCATATCATGTGTGGCCAAATTTGAATGATACGGTGTATCTTTACATTAACATACACGGAAGAGTTTGCCTGGAGGAATTTAATTTAGCCCATTTATCACAGTGGGCTGAAATTACAGGGTCTGCTATCACAGCAAAGTTCTGTGTTCGTGTAACTTAAACTGTTGCTGAAATGTTTGCAACTGGCTGTCAGCCTTTAGAAACTGTAACAAAGCACTGATAAATAGGAAATTAAATGTGTCCATTTAACTAGGCCAATTATACTCTTTCAAAGAGGAGACTCTTTAACTTCTCGGAAAAAAAGTCTGTAGCAGTTTGACCCCCAGTTTCCTGTGAGATTCACACAGCGATATAAGAGTGAATAGGAAGACAAGCCACTCTTTTGTGTTCTCTCTTCCTCTTTGAGGCCTTGGTTTAGAGCTCTGATGTTAAGAGACCAGGTCCTTTTACAAAGCTACAATAAAGAAACCACATTCCAGTTTATTTTTGATAACTGGACAGCTAACCTTACATCAGTTGAACTACCTGCACAGGCAGCTTTTGCTGTTTTAAAATATGTATGGGGATAATTAACCATATAAAATCAAACCCAGTGAAAGAGTTGAGGGCAACATAAGTTATGTGAAAAAATATCAGTATTTTATCTTTTGAAAAGGCTATGAGACCAAAAGTATTTTTACTCTACCAGATTGTTAAAAATAGCAGCGGAAATAACATTGAGCTTGGTCTGAAGGAAAACCACAGCCGAGCATATATCGTAGATCAACACCTGCAGAATAATAATTCAGTCACTCTATGACCATGACACTTTTTACAGCATTAAAAGTTTAACCATTAGGTGTTGTATTGCAATCTCTGCGTTTGCATTTCTATATGCTTAAGGCTAGTTAATAGAGATGCAAAAAGTCGTACAAGTAAATATTGGTAATAATAAGTTTGGCTTTGACCAAATGGATATCCACCAGTCGTGTTCAGGTCATATGTTACTCAAAGATAAGATGCATATTGTGATATAACATTTGTGCCATAGTAGAGCTTTGTGACACACATTTGGAGCGTCCATACATTTATAGCAGTTGAAATAATACACTTTTTTTTTAGTTTAACCATCACAATGATGTTGTTCTCTGTTGGGTAGTACATTGTTGTGCTTAAAGAAGTGTAATATGACAGTGGTTAATTATGTGTATTAAACATGGGTTTAATCCTATAGTTAAGGCTTTCTTGAATGTAGAGACCAAACACAGTTTGTTATTAGACTTTTGTGTTAAAAACATTATCCATATTTTGAAATCCAAACTTTTGATGAAATTTAGAAAAAACATACTCCTTTGTCTTCAATGTGATAGATGCAAATCATTTTTTTTCAAATAACAATTTCTCAACTCTCCAGTACCAAGGAAACACAAAAATAGTATGTTTAGAGCTGCACTTCTTACACAAATGGGCCACCTTTCCCCGAGCTGGTTAAACTTTAAACAACTTAACTTGATATACAAAATATACCAGGTCTATGCCAGGTGTAGATTAACCCAGAAGAGAAAAAAGAAGAATGTGTAATGCAGTTTTGCTTGCAGGCAGTCAACAACTTACTTCAAGACAGTAGCCTTGATAGACTACATTAGTTGATGTGGCCTTGTACGTGCATGTGCATGAAAGTAGTTTGGATTAGTTATGTTAGTTAAGTGTTTGTGTAGTAGATGATGATGTTAATGTCACCTTGGCAACAGTCTTATCTGGTCTCAGACATAACCAATGTAGACCTTCTGTTTTCTGGAGGCCTAATGAGAGTTTCAGAGGAATAAGGGCACAGTGTAGGTAATGGCACTCAAGTCCTATTATCTTTTACTTGAAAATTATCCAAAATACACAGACTAGAAAAAAAGAAAGAAAAGTATTCTTATTGAGTGCTACATACTGTTAAGTATTTAATCTGTTCTTGCTCTTTCAGTTGCATCTCTGTTTGGTTATTGAAATAATTCAAAGAGATGGAATCATCTTGGCTTTGCTAGTTTGATCTGGTCAATCTAATGCTGAACTAAATATGGATAATCCTCATGACTGATCTTAATAAAGTCTATTGTGGAAGTTCCCTTTCCTGAGTTTTAAAACATCCATATTGGATGTTGTAGTACTTAACCCAGCAATCCGGTCGTATAGTATATTATAAAGTAATTACAATATGAATCCCACTCATTATATGTAGCTTGGCTCATATGGGCCTTTAGATGAATGAGATGAGCTAAGTCTAGAAGGAAAGGGAACACTCTGAATAATAATAACCAAATATAAGATATTAATGTGTGGTAAAATATTTCTATTGTTTATTAATGACAATTTATAAATCTTAGTAGTCCCGGGCCTAAATCAATTATAAGAAGATTGAGCACAAGATGTTGTTGACGTCTTGTTTTCTCATAATGACAAATCGATAGCTTCCAAGAAGGGGCAGGGAAATTCAAACTGACATTCTTGTAATGCTATTCCTGCCATATATCTTTCTAACACTCACAAATGATTACTAGACAATAATCAGGCCTCGTTTTCAAAAGAATGAGCTGGTTCCTGTTGTTTATACGCAATTGTTCTTCGAAGCTGAAAGCCTTGCTTTTAATCATTGCAGGTTCAAATAAGGACATCAGTACCTGCATTTTTGAATGGAAGTATAGTTGTGTGTCTCTGCGATCATGCAAGAATGTTAACATTAATGCAGAGCTAAATATGAAAGCAGTCATACATAGCTAAATGTCAGTGTTCTAGGCTGCCCGCCAGTGTGTCTTGTAATAGTCAACCAAGTGACTCAGACGCCGCGCAGCAGTACAGTGAGATGAGTGAGGATGGTTGAACATTACTGAGGATGTAACATTCATGTATTCATGCAGTCTGGTGAATAAACACGTAGACTGACCATCGAAAGGGGAGCTCTTCATTTTCATGAGTTATAAAGCTGTCTAAAAGAAAAAATTAATCTCTCTGCTTACCCATTAATTAATCCACATTATCAATGACCAGTGTTGGGACTAACGCGTTACTGTAACGCCGTTATTTTTGGCAGTAACTAGTACTCTAACGCATTACTTTTTAAATTCTTTCACACACACATACGGGTTTTGGGCCGAGGGCGACACCGTACTTCCGGTATCAACCATTTCACGCGAGGTGCATACAGAATATCATAGTCGATTGCCTTAATCAATATAGTCAACTCTAAAATACCACATATATGCATTGGCATGATAATATTATTGTGACAAGTGGGGTATTCACCTGGTGTTTCCAGAAGATAGACGTAGATGCAGCCAAAATCGACCGAAGGCCACTTTTGAGGGTCGTAATTCCATACATTGTACATCCAACAACCCACACAGCTCTAGTTTACGCTGGTAACGACCTAGAGCACACCCCTCAAGTCCAGAGATGTAATCCGAAGACATGCAGCGATTTCTTCGGTCGTTAATTCAGAAAAAAAACCTAGTGCGCTCTGCCTGGCTACATTAGCTAGCTGTTTATATTAGCAATCGCCAGGATTTTTGCACCTCCAGAAAAATGGCGTCTTTATAAAAAAATATATGGCGCGCGTTGCATTGTGGGTAGCTGTGACGTCACTGTGTGTGAAAGAATATGGGACGGAAAACTTTTTCCAACTACCTGGAGAAAGAATATACAAAAATGGAAAGCCAGCTAATATCGATGCAATCCAGATTGCATATAAGGCATGTCAAGTTGATCAACAGATTGTATTATTCTCCAATGCAATAACAGTACTGAAATGAAGGCTATAAGGGCATTAATGGGAGACATTTTTAGCAAGTAACGAAAACGTTACTTTTCACAGTAACGCATTACTTTTGGGTGTGAGTAACTAGTAAAGTAACTGAGTTACTTTTGACATGAATTAACTAGTAATGGTAACTAGTTACTGAAAACCAGTAACTAGCACAACACTGTCAATGACTGATGTTAATCAAGCTGTTTGACCTTTTAATGTTTTTTATATTCTTGTCTTTTATACCTTTTTTTTAAAGTTGCTTTTATTTTGTGGTGTGTCATTGTTGTTTAAGCTTGTATCTACATTATAATAGTCAGGGCTTCAGCTGTTCAAATTTGCATGGCAATCATGCTCAAATGTTGAGCAAAGAGACTTTGTGCGTTCGAGGCAGAAGTGGTGTGGGGTGTGCAGATTGAAAGACGGAAGTGTTAACATATGAACAGTTTCTTTAAACCTACAGAATCAAACTGTTGTGACCCATGATTATCGACATGGTAGTTGCATAATACGGTGCAAGCATTGCTTTGCATATCTACAAAAAGACATATGTATGATAGAATAAATACAACATTTAGATATTTTGCTGCACAATAAGATCAGAAACTGTCCGCTAATGGAAGATATGCATTTCTCTTTTTCCATCTTCATCTTTTTTGCATAACTAAAAGCAGAAGTAGTGTGACAGACATCAAACAACTCTACAGGGAATCAATTCATGATACTCATGTATCAGACATCAGAGATTTGACACACTGAAAGCCCCAAAGCAAGAGTCTGTCAGGACATTTGAGGGCCTTTCTCACAGTCTTTGACTTTGTTGGTATTTCCATTTTGCATATTTTCTATCTGGGCTCTCTTATAATATTCTGTAGATAGGTTCTCTAATACAGAAAGGAGCTCTGTGATGCAAGACTCTTTGAATAATGTCTTTCTGATGTACAGAATGAAAATGCATAGTGGAGATTTCTTTACCAATCCTTGTAGTTTAACCTCTTGTTTACACCCTCTTTCTAACACAGTCTGTCTAACATTTCCCTCATCTACCTTACTTCTTTCAACGACTTGTCTCTAACTGAATCTTGTCTTCCCCCTCACATCCTCCCTTTCTGCAGGTGGTGCGCCTGTGCCAAAACCCCAAATTGGCTCTGAAGAACAGCCCCCCTTACATCCTGGACCTGCTGCCAGACACCTACCAGCACCTGCGCACCATCTTGTCTCGCTACGAGGGCAAAATGGAGACCTTGGGGGACAACGAGTACTTCCGGGTCTTCATGGAGAACCTAACCAAGAAGACCAAGCAGACCATCAGCTTGTTTAAGGAGGGCAAAGAACGCATGTACGAGGAGAACTCACAGCCCAGGTGAATACAACTACCTTAACAATAGTTGAAAGTATGTGATCTTGAAAGGAGAATGTGATAAAAATGGCTTGTTGACTTTCTTTAAAGACCCTTGCTGAAGGGTTAATTTGATCTGTGAATACTAGCTGCTGTATCATCACGATTTCACACATCAAATTCAATCAGTCTGAATAATTTTCGACTGTGAAGGCTCAGAGTGAATAATTGCACCCTGCCCCCAGGGTGCTTGTTGCTCAACATGTATCAAAACAAAAGCAATAAGGTGTTGTGGTTTGAGCATCTGTGGTCAGGATGGAGCCTAATCTACAGCTGCCTGTCACTTTGTTCCTGTGCCACACTATCTCTACCATCTTCTTGAACACGTAGATGGTAGCTTTATGTGTTCTTTCTTCTTTTTTGAAATCAAAATGTCTCTTTCTTTTCCTTTTACATTGAATAACCTGTCGCTGTCCCTCAGGAAACAGACACACACATGTTCTAGAAATAAGCAGTTTCCTTGTTTTAATATATGGGTATATTTGTGGAAGTGTAATTTGGTTCCCTTTTTGGCAAAATACCAAATTAAATAAAACTAAACATACATCAGAGGAAAAAACTAAAATAATCTTATACTGCAGACACAATGTTATTATCGTGCTGCTGGATGGAGCTGTTCTTCCCTTCTTCCTTGTACAACATAACATGCAATATGTACAATATATAATGAATCGGTAAGATACAGCTCATCAGCCTTGTCTTGGGAGTGATCATGATAGACAAGTAAATGTTATCCGAGTAAGGTTTTTCTCTATAACTGCCTCTGGGCGGTTGCTTCTCTAGCATGGGGTGAAAAAGATCATTTGCAAAAGATTTAAAACATTTCATTCTGTTTTCCATGGCGTCTTTTTCATCAAACTACCACGTAAGGATTTACCGTTACCGTTGTCCGGCAGTGGCTCAGTCGGTAGGGGCTTGGACTGGGAGCTGTAGGGTCGCCGGTTCAAGTCCCCGACCAGACCTAAAATATGGAGTGTGGACTGCTACTTGGAGAGGTCCCAGTTCACCTCCTGCCCTGCCGTGGTGCCCTTGAGCAAGGCACCGGACACCCCCCTGACTTCCATTGCTCCCCGGGCGCTGTACAATAGCTGCACACTGCTCCTAGTACTAGACTCCTGGGACTAGGATGGGTTAAATGCAGAGAACAAATATCACTGTGTGTGCTCTGCATGTGTGACCGTTAAAGAGGTTTTCATCCCTCCCAATTCTATTCATTCTATTGATTCACATTTTGACCATCAGAGTCGGCGTGAAGCCCTCTGTGTATCACTGTGTCTGATTCGAATGGGTCTTCTTACTGGCCCATGTCATGACTGGGAGATGTATCTTAAGACGTTGCAAGAGAACATCTGAATTCCTACAGACGTAAGTAAAGGCAGAGGGAAGCTTTAGGGGGTAATTAAGATGTTTGTAAAGCTGGTTGTGAGAGTCTGGTTTAACCTGATTCATGTGAGCAAAAAGTGACCTGGGAGTGGGCAGAGAGACAGGACGTTTTTGAACAAAGAAAATGTAGACTGTTGAAGAGGGGAGGTCATTAGTAGATTTCATAGTGTTCCTTATGTTCTATCCGAAAAACCTTAACATACAATACTACTTAAAACTGCTGGGCATTTAGTTCAGAGGTATCTTCCTAAGCTGCCGTCTTTTTGAACTCTTTCTTGTTCTTCGAAAATGTGGTAGTAGTATTATCCTACATTATGAATCATCATGTTGTTGCTCAGTTCCTCAGCGAGATTGTTCTTTCTCAGCTACCATATCAGTAGTCTTGCAAAGAGAAAAACCCCACACTAAAATGGAAGCAAGGGGAAGAGGAAGCTGTATTCACCATTGGTTGGTGGTTGATGTTTTTTTTATAGAAATGTAAACTATTGCTCTGCGAAAATGTATTTCATCATAATTTCTCTGAACCAAAAAGCTACATAGAAAGACATTCCTGGTGTATGCAGAGGAAACGCACACACACAGTAGCCAGGCAGTGCACACAAAGACTGATATTGTCTGTGTGGAGAAGGCAGTGGCAGTGACACTAACCAATGACGTTGAGCCGCTAGAGAGACTAGTATGTGGTTAGGCTTCAGCCGAGCTCAGCACATGGCTCAGACTGAAAAGTCGAGCAGTAAGGATAAAGATTATCTCACTGCCTGAATGCAGAAAGAATAGTTTGATAATACACTGCTTTCATTGTGTTTTTAATTCTGCCTTAATTCAAATATGAGAACACTGGCACTTATTATTTCCACCACTGTGACTTCAATCGGTATCAAAGCTTGATAGTTATCGACTCAAACGACAATGAACGGGACTCCACTGGGGCTTCTGGCTTTGTTAGAGTCCGAGTGAAGGATCTGAGCATTTCATGAGAGCCTAGAATGAAGCGTGGGTGGATATGCTGTGTTGTGATGCCGTACAGACTTCTCCGCTATGTCTTCCCAAGAGATTTAGAGCCTCTATTTATCTGGTCCCTCTCTCCCATATGTCCCACAGACTGTTTAGCTTGAGAGATGAAGATCTAGTGCAGTAAAAGCGTGCGTTGGTTTCTTTTCATGTTGAGCAACAGTCTTGACTACAAATCTATAATGTTTGTTCTTTAACATATGGTGGAGAAGAAGAAAGAGGATTCTATATTGTTCAAAGTAAAAGAGAGATAAAAGCGACGACTGTGAGCAAGACTTAATTATTAACACTGACGGCATTAACATACTCCGTCAGAATCAACAGATCAGTCAGCACTTCCTCCTTGTTTGCTTCACTTACTTCCCCTAATGGCTTACAAAGCACAAGTGAAACATTTTCTGGTGTCAGAGTTGACAAAAGACCCATACGGAAATTGGTTGGGTTTGCCTGACATTTTTCACTCAGTGTCACCGAAGTGACAAAAAGGGTTTATTTTTATTTATAGTTGCAAAAAACAATTATAAAATGTAACCGACCATTTATAGACCAAAAGGTAACAGATGTATTGATGTATTTCAGGTCAAGGTTCATACGTTTCTTCAGGTTTTGAATATTTGCTGAGACTAAAAATGAAATCAACTTGGACTAAAAAAAAAAGAAAAGATATTTGCCTATTAGGTTTAGTTAATTGTTCTGTGTTGAGATTTGTGAATGTCAAATTACTTTTAGCTTCTTGACAGCGGAATTTTCCTAAAGCCACATTGATAACATTTTCTTAAGAATCATATTTGTTAAACAATACACATTGTAAGGTTCCTGAGCCGAGTAATACAGCAGAAGGGTTGACCAATGTTCTCTCAGAAAAGCCCTTTAACACCCCCCACCCCTCCATGGGTCTAGCCGGATACTGCTTTGACCTCTCTGGGAGAGTCTGTTTGATCATCTTCCTGGGCTAAGCTGCCATTGCATCCTGACCACCGTCGATAGGTCCAGCTGGTCACAGGAAGTGGTGGGCGTATAGTTTGTAAGGTGACGCATCGGCACTGTGGGACAGTCTAAACTGCAGGAATTGACCTAGAATTGGTTTCTGACACCTATATTGTTGCTTGTCAAATACATTATGGCTGTTGGTGGCTTTGTTTTAAATCCCTGAATGTGTTCTTTACCAGAGCTTAGTGATGTGAACATTTTCACATCCTAATTTAGGTGTTTTCTTTGGAAAAAAGTGTGACATACTGTAAGATATGACTGTCCCGTATTGGCCTTTTTAAGCAACTTTTCAAATATGTCAGGTTTACAGAATTACATAACATTAAGGCTTATATTGCAGATACTGTGATACAATGTTAAACTTTTGTAAATGTGTTATGTTTGAGAAGGGAAACCCAATATGTTTGAAGAAAGAAAAAAAGTGTAACTTGCGGCAGCGATTATTAAGCTGGTAAAATGTTGTAATGTAAAGCGCTTGAATCCTTTGCACAATAGAAAAATGCATTCCAGACATGCTTTGGTGATATTACTACAATCGTCGGCAGGAACTACTTCTTCCAGCTTCTACTTATTCAGCCTTCTCTGCAGCTAATCTACTGTTCAGCCTTTAGTGTCCAATGCCAAGAAGAGCCTTTCACTAACAATGATTTGGATCCACTTTTTTATTCTCATCATGACCCTGACGAAGGCCAAAGGCAGAAATGGTTTGGTCTCACAATAAAAGTACTTAAAGGTGGGGTAGGTCATTTTGGAGAAACCAGCTCGAGTGCGCTAGAATTTGAAAATACACAGCCGGAAAAAGTCTGCCACTTCCTTCCAGAGCCCCTCCTCCAACACACACGAACGACACATGACCAATGAGGGCACGAGATAAGTTTCTGCACTGATGCAAGGCTGACGGGCAGGTAGGCCATCCAGTTACTTTAGCCGGGCCGGCTCAAACGATTGGTCGTGCTTTTTACAGTACTACAGCTTCCACAGATTACATTTATTTTAAGGATTTTTGTCAAAGCTCTTCAGATATTCATTGCTATCGGGATGTTAAGAGCATTCCATGGAATATAACAAAAAGTGTATCTCGAGCCGGTTTCTCAAACTTACCTACCCCACCTTTAACTTTGTAAATGCCAACTGTAGACGTGCAACAAGTGTTGCCAGAATTGTTACTGATTTAGACTCTTTTCACCCCTCTAAGCTCCTTGCAAGTAGGTGAAGTTTATCATTAATATCCATGTAACCTTTATATGTGTTTGTAGTTACTGCTGTTCAAAATCTGCATACTTGAAAAGTTGTAAAGAGATTTTTGAACACAGCAAAAACAGATAAGAGACTAATCATCTATGTTTTCCTGTACAATACCAAAATAACATGATCACATAACATAGTGGTGGTGAAAAGAGGCCTTACTCTCAGTAGGTCGGGATGTGTCCAAGGCCACCACACAGTTATTTTTGTATAACTTGTATCACAGCACCTGTCTGTCTGTACATTTGTGTTTTGGAAATAATTCATAAAGTTTATTTGATTTGTTGTTTGGGTCACATACTGCCAATGCTATTATTCCTAGAAAAGAAATGTTG